TTCTCTGCCGCAGGTTCAGCGCGGGCTTCTGCTTCACGATGGTGTACGCCGCGCTCTTCATCAAGACGAACCGCATCGCGCGCATCTTCCAGGCGGGCAAGCGCGGCACCAAGCGGCCATCGCTCATCAGCCCGCGCTCCCAGCTCATCATCTGCGCCGGCCTGCTCATGGTCCAGGTGAGCACGCCAAGCACGCGGTGCGCAAGCACGCGGTGCGCAAGCACGCGGTGCGCAAGCACGCTCATCAAACCAGTTCAGCCGACGACGACGTATTGCCAAAAACGTTACTTTGCCAGTTACTTAGTCGACGTTATGTTTCCGCACCATATCTCGACGTTTATTTTGCTTACTCTTACGTTCTCCAGGTCTTCATCAACCTGGTTTGGATGTTGCTGTCGCCTTCGTCCGCCGTGCACATGTACCCCACGCGCGAGGACAACGTGCTCGTGTGCTCGTCGCACAAGGACGCGTCCTACATGATCGCCTTCGGCTACCCCATCATGCTCATCCTGGTGTGCACCGTGTACGCTGTGCTCACCAGGAAGATCCCCGGCGCCTTCAACGAGTCCCAGCATATAGGTGTGTGTAGTGTGTGGTGGTGAGTGTGCCCTGCTCTTGTAGGCCGCTTGTGACTGCAGGCGATTTTGGTTTCGCTGGGCAGACTTTCGGCCTACGGCCCCCTATCCCTTAAAGTTTGAAACCCCGATCGGCCGGTCGCTAACTAACTGCTGGAGCGGCACCTCACTCTCTTGGCAAGCCCCGCACGCAGGCTCAGGGGTCCCCTGGGGCCGAGGCCGAGGGGCGAGAGGGGCCTCTGCGAGGGCCTCTTCCGCCTCCACCTCGGCCTCGGGCTCAACAACTCCCGGGTGGGTCCAGAGCCACGCCGCGGCCGTCCCGGGCCTGCGCCAGAGGCCGTGACTTTCCGTGTTAACGACCTCTTTCCGCCTCCGCCCCCATCAGCCCCTCCCAACGCCAGCTCATGGCGGCCTTGGGCTCGACGGCCAGGGCTGAGCGGACATGTTGATGAATGCTAATGGTCGGGTGGACGACGTGTGTTTGGCAATCCGGGGGCGCCTATAGAGCGGCCCGGTCACAGCCCCCAGCCCCCGCCCTCACAGCTCACGCGCGCCCCGCCAGGGAGCCGGCCAAATGACCCGACAGGTTCCGGGGATCGGGGGGCG